CATAAGCATGAGTCTTGGACTCAAAACACATGGTCGGCCATGTAGGATCCAGCTACCTTAACCACCAGGATATAGGCTAGCCCAACAGATAGTTTTTATTTGTACTAAAAGACATGACAGTAATTCCAAGAGAAACTCCAAAAATGATTTCACTAGAACAACACCAGAGGAATAAATATAATAAACGTATAAGTCATGATACATGTTGTAAAAATTTAGCCTCATCAGCCTATAACTATCTCCAGAAAGTTTTATTATAAACTTCTTTAGGCGGGAGATATATCTTATTCATCTCTGTTTCCATTACTATACCCATCACAAGAATATATCAAATTTTTAGGCTGAACTAGAAGATATGCAAATGTGTGTATAAATGCACAGTTTTCTATTAAGTCAACTTTTTTTTTTTTTTTGGAGAGATTTTCACTGTAGGGCGCGTGCGCTTGCCAGACAGACAGAGAGAGACATAGAGACAGAAAGCAAGAAATCACCCCCCAGGGGGGATGGTCACACCGCAATCCCTTCTCCTCCATTCACCTCTCGGGATCTTGGGCACGCACGCACACACGCCCGGCGTGAGTTTTAAGCCATCGGGTGCGGGACACGAACCGCGGTCGACTACGTGGGAGTCCAGCGACATAGCCATTACACTAACTGCTGGTTCCCTATTAAGTCAACTTTTGAACTTAAAGCATTATCCTTCATAATTTCTTTTCTTTGCTCCTATGTTAATTTTAAGCTACCTGCCAAATTCCTTCAATTACCAGTATTTTCAACTCTTTCATCTACACTTTCTCCTCTCAACCTCTTTGATTTTCCTAAAATTCTAACTTGAGAGAACCATGAACAAACTGAAGGTGAGTAGAATAATGAAGTCAAGAAATAAATTAAACAAACATAAAAGTTCAGTAGTTGAAGAAACTACAGGCTATTAGCTTGCTATACCGTCAAACAGTAAAAACAGATTTGGTTCAGAAGGATAAAGACAGGACCAGCAGATAAAAGATAAAGTGAGAAAGATTTTAGATTATAATAAAGAACCTACTAACAATTCAGATTTGTGCACAACAGAATAGGGGCCATGAGATGCTAAGCATCCTGTTTGGATTATCCAAGCACATATCAATTTTATATAAATCAAGAATATTAGAGGTAATTCCGACAGTGATATAAAGTATACCTTACTTTATAAAAGTATTTCCCACTGAAACATTGAGTATTTAACTTTTGTGCACTGTACCTTGGCAAAACAAACATGAATGAGAAATACTCTTGTCCCAGAAACTCATGCAAATTCTACCTCCAGCAGCAAAGGTTAGCATATGTGATGTCTTACAATAAGGATTATTACAGAAGTATTGACCAAATGCTATGAGAACATAATGGAAAGATACTACCCTTATCACGGGCAAAGGATCAGGAAAAGAGAATAACATGGTACATCCACAAATAAAGTATTAATGAAGAAAAGACTATAGAATAGTGATACTATTCTAGGCCTACCAGAATAAATTACCACAAAATTGGTAACTTCAAATAAGAGAAATTTATCCCCTCACAGTTTTGGAGGTCCAAAGTCTGAAATCAAAACTTTGATAGGATTAATGCAACAGGTTCCAGTTTAGCAAATGGACCTATCTTTTTTTCAAGCAACCACCTGGCTCCCCAAAACCCCCCCCCCCATAAAAATGCATTCACCTAATTCCAACCCCCCAAATCTCAACCTTTCACAGCACCAACTTTAAATTCAAAATATCATAGAAATACTGCCAGCATTGACAATATATACAAACCTAATCATTTAACTGAGGTAAAGATGAGACTCTGGGTATAATACATCCTGGGGCAAAATTCTTTTCCATATGTTGAACTGTGAAACTATTGGGTTGTCAGAAAAGTCATGATGTATATTTTCTATTAAAAATGTGTTAACGACTTTTCTGACAACCCAATAGAAAAGCTACCTGTTTACAAAATTCAATGGTGAGACAAACAGGGCAGACATCCCAATTCCAAAGGGATAAAGTAGAAGGAATAAAGGGGTCATCATTGCAAGCAAGTTCAAAACCCAGGAGGGCAAATACCTCTGTGTTTCAAGTTCTGAGAAAAACTCTGTGGTCTGACACTTTACCCTTTATGCTGCCCACTAAGGCTCTGCCCTTATTCTTCCTCTCTTTCGAAGGGTAGCATAATGTTTATAGCCAAGTAGCTCTATTAGTTCCTTTCCTGACTATAAATTCTGAAAGTCCAATAGTTTCTCTCACTTTTTCTTCTCTTTGTCCTTTATGATCCAAGCTGCTAGTACTACATTCTCAAAATCCCTGTGGCGCGCTTGTGTATCTCACCAGGGTATATATCATAATACAAAGATCCTCTATGGATCCTTCCTGGTAAAGCCATCTCTGTATGGGTCTCTGAGGTTGAGTGAACCCATGAGTCATTTGCCTAATTCAGCAAGAGGTTGTCCAGCTATATTCTTGGCCTACTCTACAGAGCATGCACTCTCAACACTGAGTTTCCTAAAGGTTAGCATTCTTTACAATCAAATGACGGTCTAGCTTTTCTTCCTTCCTTTTCTTTCTTTCCTTTCTTCTTTTTTGCTAGAGGGTATGTGCACTCCCCAGAGACAGAAAGGTAAAGGAGAAAAGCATTCTTACAGGAAGTGGTCACACTGCAATCCCTTTTCCAGCTCTCCCACCTTTCGTGATTTTGGGAACACACACATATACACACACACATGCCCCTTGCTCTCCAAACCACCAAGTCCGGGACTCAAACAACACAGTTGGCCATGTGGGATCCAGCTATCACAAACGGGAGGCCACAGAGTCCAGTTTCTTTTTCTCTAACTGTTCCTTCTTAATTAATCTATTTCCTCTACCATTTTACTAACCATTGAGGAGAAAACCATCTGTAACTATTCGGTCAACAGAAAAGTCATGAAGTGTTTTCCTGTGCAAAAATGTGTCATAACTTTTCCGACAACCCTATAAAACACTTTGCTTGGAAATTTTCTCATCTAACTATCCAAGTTCATAGCTTTCACGTTGTTTGCCACAAACTGTACAACTTAATTCAGCCAGTATGATGTTAGTATATAACAAAGGTCACTTTCTCCCAGTTCCCAATAACAAGTCTCACGTTTCCTTCTGAGCACTTACCAGAACTACCTATAAGTTCCTACTTCTACCAACATTCTGTTCATGACAATATAAGTAGTCTCTAAGATAATGGAAATCTTTTCTGTGTTCTTTTTTTGTTGGGGAGGGAGGCTTTTGCTATAGGGCGCATGTGCTCACCAGATAGCCTGAGAGACAGAAAGCAAGAAATCACCCTCCCCCCTCCCCCCCAGGAGAGGCCATCCTGCAATCCCTTCTCTTGCATTCTCCTCTCGGGATCTTCAGCACGCATGCAGACACACCTGGCATGAGTTCAAGCCACCGGGTCCAGGACTCAAACCACAGTTGATTACCTGGAAGTCCAGCAACGTAGCCATTACTCCAATTGCTGGTCCCCTTTTTTGTGTTCTTTACTCTATTCTAAGCCCTCATAAGAACTGCCCTTACTGTCCATATTTCTATAGTTTCCTCATGGAATGTTGGCTTTTTCTGCCAGGTGTCTTCAAATTCTTCCAGCTTTTGCCCAATTCCACAGCTACTTCTTTTTAGTTATTTGTCATACCAATACCCCACTGTTTCTTACCAAAGTCTGTACTAGTTTCCTAGAGCTGATGTAACAAGTTATCAAACGCTTGGTAGCTTTAAATAAAAACTCATTCTCTTAAAATTCTGGAAGGCAGAAGTCCAAAATCAAGAGGTTAGAGAGCTATAGGTCCTCTGAAGACTCTTGGGAAGACCTTTTCCTTGCCTTTACATGCTCTCGGTGGCTTCAGGTATTCATTGGCTTAAATCTAATCTCTAACTCCAACTTCATAGACCTTCCCCTCTATACCTATGTCTTCTCAATTTCTGCCTCTTATAATGACATGGGATTTCAGACCCATTTAGATGATCTAAAGATCTGCAAAGACCTTTATTCCAAATAATAGTCGCCAGTTCCAGGAGTTAGGACGTGGACATATCTCTTTTTTGGAGGTGGAGGGTAGTCTGCCATCCAATCCACTATAAAAGATGAGGTTGAAAAGTCACACTGGGGTTAAACCTGTGAAGGACCTTAAGGAGCATCCTACAGGAGTATCAATTCTTAAGACGGTTGATGCAAGTCTAGCAACCAGTGGTGTAAAGGTGGAAAAATTTAGACTGATGTGGAACTAAGTGGGATTAAATCCAAGCCAGCTGTGGGAGAAACTAGGGAAAGGACAGATTTTAAGCTGGACTCATGTATTCACCAGTATCTAATACATACAAAGTGAAGGGAGTTGATGGAATCTTTTCAGGACTACACACTGGTGCTTTGGAGAACCGTCTATAAGTAGTGGTCTAAAACTGCATAGTGCCTGAGAGAATGAACTTTCAAATTCTATTCAACTACTGGAACACTAAGGAGCAAAATTTAGTAGCTACAAGTTTTGTTCCTACAGAGTAAATGATACCTCATGAGTTAATTGCAGTGGAAGAGAGAAGGAAAAATAAAAACTTGTGAGAAGCTGCCTTCCCTACAGCAAGCCTAGGAGGGCACAGAATGGTGTTATTTTGAAACCAGGTGCTTCAAGTAGTGTCAGCCTGCATTACATGCTGCTTTCCACGTCTCCTTATTTTTTTTCTCTCTTGTAAATGCTAATAGAATACAAGTGAATTAAACCAGGGCAGGGAAGTTTAGAAAACTGCAGGCAGGACACAGAAGGATCCGAAGGGACATAAGTTGCAAGTGAGTGTTGTTAAAGAACCTAGGCCGTGCTGGGAGGGCGGGGAAGAGGTGATGATGCTCCCAGTCCAGCACCAGGACACCTAACCAGAGAGGGGACCCCAACCACAAGCGCGAACGGCGGCAGGCCCACGGGGTCGCGCCCGCCGCCAGCCACAGGGACCTTGAGGGTCGGGTGCGCCCCAGCACTGCCCGCCCTCCCGTCCCTCCCTCTGCTCTGCGCTCAGCACCTGGCCGGGCCCGCACCCACCTCGCCTCCAGCAGTAGCGGGGTCTCCGGCCACTTGGCGGCCAAGTGGGCTGTCACTGCCTTGGACGCAGAGGACGGCCCGGAGCGGAGCAGCGAGAACCAAAGCGCCGTGGAGCCCCGGAACAGCCACAACACGTTCGCGGC